AAAAGCCTTGTGATTTTTTTCAAACCCAGCTAATGCTAAAGTTTCAGAATGACTGTTTCGATTTTAAAAGCCACAGTACTATTAAAGCAGTTATCCAAAATGTAGTGCTACTAGACAGCATAAACCTTTAAATCAGTCAGAGATCACACACACACACATATATATATATATATATATTTATGTTTTTTAATTTAAGCCAGAGGCCAACTGTGTAAGTGGGTCACTTGAAAAAGGTTGGCAAAAAACATTTAAGGAAAGCTGCATATACCATTTTGCCAATGTCAAACTCATTGAGCATCATTAGCTTGACAAGCTTGGCTAATGAGGTCGCAGGCAGAGCAAGCATTTTAGAGGAACCTTTTCTAGGACCATTCTGTAGCACCTCCACCAGTCTCAAGCCATTCTTTTACAAATTCTGAACAGTGAAGACCTCATTGCAGGTGACTTATTTTTCAATGCTGATGATGCCAGACCATAATCTTCAGTTTACTTATGCAAAAGAAGAGATGAAGTGAGCAGAGTATGTGCTTGCTTGGCCAAACTATCTCTGGAGCATGATGGTGGCTCAAAGGCAAGTGGCACTGCTCCCTTCCCTCTGGCATAGCTTCCTACAGGCTTCCCCAGGGGGTTCCCTCAGTCCAAACCTAGGGTACCTAAGTGTTTTCCATGCCCTCTGACTAAAGGTCAAGTTTGTTGGGAAGGGTTCAGGACAACACCTGTTCACCAAAAAACACCTTTGGCATATAACATATGTTGTACTATGCTAACATGTCTCCCTCCCATACAAGAAATGCTGCAATGGCGAGAGGTACTGAAGCAGTTACACCGTGACCCAAGTACTTGCAGATTGATCCTCTAGATCTAGAAGATACTCATCGCTCATTCTGAGCAACCCACAACAGCAGAAAATTATACTTCATTCCCTAACCACTCAAAAACATAAAAAGACTTTTTAATACAGACAGCAGTGTTACAAATCTGCACACCTTTCTTCAAAAGTAACTTTGCTCTTTGCATAGATATTTATGTTGTTGGGCATAATGTATCTTCCTTCATGCATCTGATTAAGGATTTCCTCAGAGACTTATGATATGTTAGCTAAATGGTCGCATATTTTAGGATAATCTAACATTAATACTTTGAAATCTCAAGTACATTTGACCTTCTCCAGTTCTGCTGAAAAGAAATCAGGTAATTGTAGGAAAATGAATCTATTAACTTCCCTGGAACCAAAAATTGATGATAGCAAAGAAGAGAAAAGCAAGGACACTCTGTTACATCATTTATTCACATTCACAATACCATTCACTATCATCTTTCCAAGTATTACTGTGCACAGATTTAACTCATTGGATCCTGATATTCATACTGAGTATCTTGCCAAGAAATTGATTAATTATTTTGGATTAAAGCACCATTAAATGTGAAAACAGGTATCAGAAACTCATCTACATTTTTACTTTTTTAAAACATTGTGAACTGTGGAGTAAAAAAAGTTGCATCTTCTATGTGCTTAGATCTAGGGAATAACTGCGTAGAAAGATCTCCTTCTGCTATACCTATCATGAATACATCTGGATGATATAAAAATTATAGCTTGAAGAATTCCTGTACAATCACATTTCCCTAAAGGGTATACACTGTTGAGGAAGCTGCTTCATCCTGTGTTGTAACTCCTCATCCCAAAATGACTAACCCCCTAATCTGAAAAGAGATTTTACTGTTTAATACAGCTCCACAAACCACATGCTATTATCTTAGAAAAACAAACCGTGTTTTCAAATAAAGGCAAGATGATAAAGGTATGTGATGATGCACAAAACATTTAAAGGGCTGACAACAGCCTGCCAGCATAAACAGCGTGAGATTAGGCTGTAGATGCAGCCATAGCAAGCACTGCAAAGATGCTGGGCTCAGTAAACTCTTGTGTCACATTTCTTTGATGCCACTTAGTCAAGGGAATACAAGATCCTGAAGTACTTCAAAGTCAAAAGCTGGCACATAAAATGCATTGTTGCCTTCACTTCATAGCACTCCCAACCCCTCAAAAAACTCCAACAAATCAAGACAAAACTCAAAATTCCCAAACAAATAGGTAAGAGAAAGGAAGGGAGGAAGGGAAACAAAAGAAGGAGGGAAGGGGAAGGAAGGGAAATGAAAGGAGGGAGGGAAAGGAAGGGAGGAAGGAGAGAAAGAGAGAAGGTCTGAAAGGGAAGGAATCAGAGAAAGGATGAAAGGAAAGAAAAGAAAGGAAGGAAGGAAAGAAGGAAGAAAGCAAGCAGTATCAAGAGTCAGTGGGAGACGCAGGGCATTCCCCTTTTAGGCCCAAGCACACCTGTTAAATTACAGGTGCATGCAAATGATTTATGGCCTGATTTTCATACATGGTTAAGATGTATTTTATAAGTATATTTACTTATAAAACGACAATAAACGCCCTGACTACCAAAACCTGTATCTGACAAGGCTGTGTCAAGTCATGAGCTTTTTAAGACAAACTGTTAAAATCCTATCTAGCTCCAATTTATCTGTAAAATGGGTGTCCTAGCTGAGCCCTGGCCTAGTTTTCCACTCTTCTTCGCGTTTGTGAGACCTACATCACTGAGTTCATTGTTTTCTCCCTGAATGATAGAAAATAAAGAATTTTAGCTTCAGGGTGGTTGGGGTTTTGGGGTTGGGTTGGGGTTTTTTTGGTCCAACCTATTAAAATGTACGGGTAATAGCGCTTCAGCTCGGTTAGTATGCTAGCGATATAGTGATAAACCAGCCATTTGTTTATGCCACAATGAGCAGGGAAAGTAATACCCTAAGGCACTCCAGTATTACTGCAAGGCCAGTGTGATTTTTGAGGCATTAGGCTGAAGGCTGAGCAAGATCTTTCAACCAAACTATACTGTCCTACGGCTATAATGAAATAATTAAACAAAACTAATGAAAATGGAACATATTTAATAATTCTTTGGGTAAATCCATGACACAGATATGACAAAACTGACAGGGCATCAGAAAGGATCATTTGTGCCCATAATTTCCAGGTAGTAATTTTAACAGTGCCATTTGTTCCACTACAGCTGGTCTGCTGTGGATGTTTTTAAAAGCAGCACTAAATACTGAACATATTTCATCATTAAAGCCAACTATTTGAGCATGGTCATTTTTATACTACACATTTTCACCGGAGTTACAGACAACTATCTCTCAACATCTAATCTTGCAGCTTTTACCCTGGTAAATCTCACTGGATTTCAGTTGGAAGTTTGTCAAAGTTAAATGCTGTGGAAGTGGGATCAGGTTTTTATACACCCTCTGACTAAAGAGAGCAAGCGCCTATATTAAGTGAGCTTTCTGTCAAACCTTAAAAACAAAAAAATGGTGGTTTATAACTCCCACAACTGTTATTTAGTAATTTCTACATTTAATATTTAATAGAGTGAATTCTTACTTAGTTTCTGTGATATACAACCTGTTTTATATACAGTATGTACCATTATGGATATAATTGGGAAGTGAGCATTAATTTATATTAAATGCATTTACATTTCCATTTTAAAGGTACTTGCTCAGAGCACTTGTAAAACTACCAATATTTTTAACTAAGAAATGAATAAATATTTAGAGTGCCAGTATTACATGATATAGTTATCAGCCCTCCCATTTTCAAGAAGGTGGCAGATATGTGCTTGGGGATGAACTTTTTAGCAGGGCCTGTTGCAAGAGGGTAAGGGGTAATGGTTTTAAATTAAAAGATGGTACGCTTAGACTAGATACAAGGAAGAAATTTTTTGCAATGAGGGTGGTGAAACACTGGAACAAGTTGTCCAGAGAGGTGGTAAATGATCCATCCCCGTAAACATTCACAGCCAAGGTTGGACAGGGCTCTGAGAAACCTAATTAGTTGAAGACGTCCCTACTCACTGCAGGGGGTTAGACTAGATGACCTTTCAATGTCCCTTCCAACCCAAACTATTCTATGACTCTACGAAATAAAACACATAAGTACCTTAACTTCCCTGTAACTGCAGAAAAAGCCAATGCACAGAATTTGTCCATCTCCTATTAACTGGAGAACCCTGCTCAAGACATCAAAAGTCCCATGATGATAAATGAGATCCGCAGGTCACAGTAGTACAACAACAAAACCTAACCAAATGTAAATAATTGTTGTACTGCTGAGGTCTCAGCTTATGCTAACTCCCGATTCACATCATTAACTTTACACATCATAAGTAATCTGAATCACTAAACACAGCGGTTACCTCCAGAATTGCTTTCAGCCATAAATACCTGTTCAGACTAAAACTCACACAAAGTTTATATGGCTGGACACAGGCCTGTATCACACACATTCTTTTTACAAGTCCAAGACCATGACAAAGGAGGAAACTCAAGACCATGCTTGTCTAGATTTTGCCCAAGAACCTTCCTAGATGCTGTATGAGCACAGCAGGTATTTATTGCAGTTAAGCAATACTCAACTCAACTAGAGCCCACCAGTAAAACCATGTGGTGAAATTACGCTAAGTTGGCACCAAAGTGACCAAAAGGTGCTTCCTGCAAGAATCCCTGGCTCACATGAGGCAATGGCCAGCCATCTAACTTAGGCTGCCTCACCTCAGAATGGCCAGGCCACCCTACTCCTACTCCTGCGTAAGAGCACCCAAGGACAAGGCCAGCAGCACAGCATATTACCAGAGCTGTGAGCAAGAAACACATCAAGGTTTAGCTGCATACAACCTTCAATGTGAATACAGGACACAAAAGGAGAAGCCCTTTACAGGCACAGAAGCACAATCTAATTTTGTTTACACAAACCAAAGAAAAAAGAGACAGAGATCCTATGGAAGTCAGGAATAATGTCGAAAATATGCTGGCAAAAAAATATTTTCAGAGAAAAAATACTAACCCGTTCACATTCTTCTTAGCTTGCTTAAAATGTACAAGACAACATACAAAAGAACAATTATATTTAAAAGAATGAGCAACTGAAATATTTAACTTACATATGACGTAATAATCTTTGTTCTTCTGAAATTCCAGGCCCCAGAGATTAGGACTGAATTCTTGAAACTTGATGGTAAACTTAACATCTTGATCTGGCTTGGCGCAGTTGAGTAGAGGTGTATTGTCCTTTTTAATAGCACAGCTATCTGCTTGGTCTTTATCAACCATGTAGACCTTATAATATTCATACTGGCCAACAGTTTTAGAGTCCACCTTTGGACATATAATATCCAGTTTGTCTCCTATCTGTGGATATAGTACCAATCCTTGTCCAGGAAGGAATCTAAAACAGAAAAAAAGAAGGGAGGAGAGAGAGAGAGAGAGAGAGAGAGAGAGAGAGAGAGAGAGAAAGTAAGGGAACATGTGAGACACTTCATAAAATCTCATCCAGAAAAGTAGCAATTGCAGTGGACAGAAAGGAACAAACACACTGTTTCCAAAACCAAAATGACAGACTGAGCAAACCAGACCTTAATAGTTTGGGCCTGACTCAATTTAATATCAACAGGATGTTTACTTAGATCTTGAAAATTACAAACGGATTGGTCTTGTAGTTCTTATCCCAGTTTTGGGAACTGTAGTAGGTTTTACATCTCTGGCAGGCACTGCTGTTTCTTCCACATTTGGCCATTTACAGCAGCCAGTACAATTTCTAGTGGGATATAATCCTGTTTTTCTGCTTTGGTAACATTTTTACTGTTCTTGCATATATTTTCCTAATTTTGGACATGGGAGAATGACAAGAATAATCTTTCAAACCCCCTGATCAGCCATGTGAGAAAGGAAACAATTTAGACTTTAACACTGAACAACATATGAAGATGCTCTTTGACATTAGTAGTGTAACACAAAGGAACATCAGTCACTTATCAGGATCATGCTTACAGACCTGGGGTGGACTGAGATCTACGTGATCCAAGCACCACACAGCCTTCCAATAAAACACTTTTCCAAGACAGTGTGACACTACAATAATTTCTTCTCTTCATGAACTCCACCATTATCATCGTTGGTGTAGCTATTTTTATTTCTTGTGCTACAAGTGAAACATGGGTATGCTTTTGCCTTAGTACAGATGAAGACTTCTTCCACAAACTGGCAGTGAGCTCTAAAGTTTTGGGGTTAGACTCGATACTGTAACTTTCCTACTCATATTAATTAATAGGAAAACTTCATCACTTCTTCACGGAAGAAAAATATAAATAATTACTTATTAGTACTGATTCATCCACAAAATGAGAAGCCTTGTTCTCACAAGGACAAAAGCCACAGCAGGTTTGTTTGGGTTTTTTCTTGATATGATATATTTCTTCCAATTAAGGCCAAGAAGCGCATGTTTCAGAACTACAGCCAACAACACAACCTCCTCGAATGCACAGACCTAAAAGACTGACTTTCTTTCCTTTTTCTCCTGCCTGCCAAGCCTTTTCCAAAGATCTTCCTTAATGGAGAATGAGCCTGAAAAACTGACTGAAACAATTGTTGCCTAATGAACACCCTTCTCCAAGTGCTAGCATTTGAACGGCACACTTAGTAAATCTAGCTTATTCACAGGCAACTTTCCTGGAAACTTTAAATTAGAGTACTAAGGCCCAAGCAGAACAAAGCTGTAGGCGTCAGTGACTTCCAGCCTCTGGCTTGGCTAACAGAGCCCACCAGCATATAGCAGTGCTGGGGGAGAACTTACTAAATTAGAGAAAAGGATGATGCGATGCCCCAAATTTCAAATTAATTGTTTACAACCGCTTGCTCCCACACAATGCAAGTTTATGATCTGTGCTAATTGAGCAGGATTATTTTCACTCACAAAGCCTGTGTAAGAATTATATTTGCCGTGAAGCAGCACGTATCAGGACAAAGACATGTAATTACAGATTTAGGGAAAAAGAACAATGAAATGTTATGGCAAGAAAGCGACTGTTGATGTATAAATCACTGCGCTCTTTTGTGTTCTGCAGTGTAATTTCCAGACTACAGAAACTAGGCTTGGCCATGGCTGTTCAGACTGAGATGCACTGGAGATGAGGCAAAGCTGCACCTCCTCCTCCAGTGTTCGGACACACCAAAGGAATGCAGTGACTACCACCTCCCCAAAGCCAAAACAGTGAAAGGTGGAAATGCATCCTAAAAAGTCACCGGCCGGGTGAGGGACAAGTGAGGGAGAGGCCAGGTCTGCAAGGGCACTGAGGAAATAGGGGAGAGGAAGACCTGAGCCAGCAAAAGTTCCCAAGGGAGCAGCACAGATCCTGACCAGACTCTCCTCAGGGATTGACTGAAGCCAGGCAAAGGCAAAGGGACAGAGTTTCTGAGCTAACCTCCGTCACCTGTGACTGACTTTACCATCCTGTCTGACCCCAGCCCCATTTTACTTTGCTCCTGTGCAGCAGTGTTGTACCAGAAAGATCAAAATTACTTACACTTATCAAAATTACTTATATTTCTCCATCTGCATGCCAGGACAAAGGCTAGTCACTGTATATTCCCACCACTGCAAATATTTTTTCTTGTCAGTAATTCTTCTTCACGTAACAGGAATGTGTAATACAAAACACATGAGATTTCAGAAGACCAGAGCTTTGTTTTTAAATTAATCAAGTAAGATTTTCATAAATATGAAATGTTAGGTTAGAAAAGCACACCTGTCTGTCATTATCAATAATACAACATAAAGCTGCCCTGAGAAACAAAAATGACTGATTTCAATTTTAGATTTTGTGTATATGTATGTGTGTAATGAAGCAGAAGCAGTATACATTCTCCATGAAAACTCTGAGCATAAACAGGACGGGTTCAGAGATGATGTCCCAGGCAATCCTCAGAAACAGATACCGGAGGGAAAGCACACTCGTGTGTGTCTTGGTTAAGTAGCCAGGAATTGCCCCATAAAAAGGCAGAGGACAGAACCACCCCCAACAGACAGCTAAAACACATTTTACAAGAGCTTTAAACCAATGCACTTGTTAGACTTTATGGAAGGGGAATATTCTTGCTATGGCTCTGAAGTCAGTACAGTTCGAGAACTAAACTCGGTAAATGTCCTTCCACTTGAGTTTCTGAACTTGTAGGAGCTAATGCTGATAGGATTAGGAGAAAAAAAAAAAAAAAAAAGGGCTGAAAATGAAAGGATTAATCTGAGAACTTGATTGTATTGAAATTTTTTCCACAGTTTGCAGTTTTGATCGTGACCTTTGCGAGAAAGATATTTTTCCAATTTACTTTATTTTCTTGCAACAATAAAGCTCATATATAGATGGAAAGAATAAAAAAGTTTCACCTCATGCATTTCAGTTTGACCACAAAATTTAACGGTAGCTGATTAGTAGTAGGCATGATTATTAGCTCTGCATTTGTGTAGTACTTTTGCTACTGTATTTTTATAAAGATTTTAAATAAATCATTTCCTGGGTACTAAGCATCTTCTGAAGCTATTTTATTAAATGTCAGGAAGATTATGACTATTTTTTCATGATCCTATATTTGAAAACCTTGTATGTGGGGAAGAAAACAAACAAAAAAAAAGGACAATGTACATTTAGCCTTGGTAGAGGTTAACAAAAACCTGAGGATTAATCCTGAATCTTCATTTCTGTGAGTGCTGATGTAGACTTAAGCGTTCTGGGGTAGCATCAACACTTATGAAATATTTGCAGGATGGCATCTGTAACAATGAAGTTAACGAACTGGCTTTAAAAGTCTGATCAGAATCTACCTTCATCTAACTAAAAAACTTTTTTCTCCCCAAACAGAAATATAAAAGACTGAGCAAGAGGTTTTCAGAATCCTGTAACTCATCCTAGGGAGGCAGCATTACTCTAATCATTGCTTGAACACTGACATGCTCTTTGAGCAGCTGGGATAATGAAAGCACTGGAACCATTGCTTTCTATGAAAAGCTAACTTTCTAACTTTCTGCTTTTCAGCTCTAGATGTTCTTTACTGGGAAACCTATATACCAATATAGTCCCCTGTACCTCAACAGAAACTTAGGAGAAAAGTTTAGCAAGTTTCCCTGACTCATTTCTGTCAGCAGTCAGACATAGTGAGACTAGAGCATTCGAAGACTTGCTCACAATTAATAATCCTAGTGCTTACTGTGAGAAAGCACAGAAAAGTGTAGTAAGTACAGTAAAATCTGTATAATGTAATTCATGCGCTTTCTGTCTGGGACTTTTGGATACAGAAGGCATTTTTACTGTCAGCCCAAAATCAGTGTCTTGTAGGTGACATTTGACATCTGTGCAAAGCCCACAAATGTGCATCCCTCCCCTGCGTTCAACTAGTCATGCAGCTTATGAAATAACACCAACATGCAGAGTTACCAAACATTTTTAAAAATAAGGATTGTATTAGACCAAAAAGTCACATAACAACACAAAATAGGAACAGAGAAGTCTGTTCCCCATTCCCACCAATGTTACAATGATTTTCTGTACCACACTTATTTTAAGGCTGAGCAGTTGCTGGCACGAATGTACCCTTACTGGTCAAATTCCTAGAGAAGTTAAATTTGATTTTGAAATTTTACAAAAAAAAAAATTTATATTATGCACAGTTTCCAACTGACTTTTACGAATCTACTTCTTGTTTAGAGAAACTTAGCATATTCAACCATATTAAATTATAAGGGAGTTTTCCTTAATGATAACCACTCAAACCTGCCTAATTTCATAATAGCAAATTCTCAAAAAATTAGAACTTTACCTGTCAGCACTTTTTCACTGAGAATATTCTGCTATTCCTTAACTACAGTCATTTTTGAAACTGTAAAAATATCATCAGATAAAATCCTTAAATTATTAAAGAGATTTTGTTAATCAATACCGACTGATGTGACAAATGTGTTGTCATGCTTTTCCCAGATTGCAAAACTATATATATACCCACATACTGTAAATACATGTATGCACACTTAGCTTTAACTATATCTTAGTAATTATAAAATACATGCAATTTTAGAAAGCATGTTAGTACTTGTTGCGAGTTTTGTATATTTAACTGGGGAAACAATGCCAAATTTCTGTGCTTTAATACCTTACCTGAACTAATTGGTGAAGGCAGTTAGCTTTAAATTAATGTAACAAAAATAACCCTAAAAATGTGAACAATCAGGATGCTGCTTAAAATGCAGCCTGAAACCTTCTGCTGGGGAATCCTATCCACTTAACTTTATGAAGTTTAACTACCAGCCTGACTATAAAGTTATTCATTGAAAAGTTTTATTAAGGAAATGTCATGAATACTAATAACAGAGTAAGTTAGTCCGTTACTTGTACAAGTGCAAACTGAAACAGAATACAGAATAGCATTCTACATACAAGTCTTTACTGTCTAAAAAGAATGGTTATTAAATAGTATATGTACTCATCATCTGGTCTTTGACAAAATAACAACATTCATATATTGAATATCATTTTTGTCCACAGGTGAAATATTTAAGAATACAAATATTCTTAGAGTATAAAGAAAATAAAAGTTCCAGGAAAAGGCCCTACTGATTTCAGTGAAGTAGCAGTGGGCTAATCAAAGCTTGCTGAACGAGATGAAAGCCAGTCCAGTATTTCTCAAAGACCCTGAACTGAATAAAATCCGAAAACACAGAGCTCTCTGTAAGAGTCCTCTGCTCCATATATAGCTTTCAGACTAGTTCCTGTCATATTCAACAACATAAACAAAGATATGCCACATGGATATAAGGTATACACCCAGCTGTAACCCTGCAAGGTTTTTTTGCAGAAGCAGTGATTTTACAGGACTGATCTCACCCGAGTTTAAATGGATTAAGTGAACGTGAATTCAATGGGAAGAGGATCAGTAACTGCTGTGGAACAGACAGAAAAACAAGCTTCATCAAAAAAGATTAATGTGGAGACTCTGTCTCAAAATGGGTACAAGAGTTGGTCAAAAAGAAAAGCACTACTGTAACATGAAATCTCTACAAGAAAAATTACTACAGGGTGACAGCAAGATGACAGACTGACTTTATACACAGACTAGCAAATGAAACTTT